GGGTATCTTTTAGGTTGTGGGGTTCTGTATTTAAAATAAACACAGAGAACAGTGTGTCAAAAAAACACTAAACCTGGAAATATATACTGCAAAAGCAACATGTACAGGACAAATGGAGAGTACAGATACTTCTACTTTTTGCATCAAGACACCTACTACAAATACAGTATATATAAATCTTTTATTCTAAAATTTGGTATGTTCTTTTTGATCCAAACAGAAACAATCCTTATCTTTCTTCACTCAGTAATTAATCCAGTCTTAACTTTGTAGAAGTTGTACTGTAAACAAAAAATAAGCATGTCATGTTTTCAGTGTTAAATAGCACTGGAAGAGAAAGAACAGCAAACATCTCCCAGCCAGCGCAGACATTCTGACTTCCAGATTACAGTACATTGCTTTGCTTCCTCCAAATCCTGTTTACATGATCAAGGTCAGGGGATGGAACATTAAAGAGCCTCTACAGTGACTTCCTGCTGCTGTCAGTAAAAACTACAGAGACACCATCAACTTTCCCTTGTTCCCAACAGCTTATCAGGGACTGGAGGTTACCAATGTATTGCCTTACAGAATTGAAAAAACCCAAACTCCCTCAAGACTAAAACTAAAATTGGAGGAGGAAACAGCCCCAAAGGGAAAGAAAACTTCCAATTTTTCCTTTTCAATGGCTCAGAAATTAAGCTTAAGTTGCTTGAAACACAAAGAAGGGGTGGGAGAGAGACAGTAATGCTTTCAGTCTTCAATGAAACAGAAAGGAGAAAGAAACACCACCCCCAGCCCCCAAACCTTGACTCCAGTTCAGTGAACATTTTCAGAGTGCAAAAGGCTAGAATACACATGATTTCTAGTAACTGCAACATATTAAGAGTCTTACCATAGGAGAAGTCAGGGCATTGCACAAATACTAGTTACCTAAGCATCCATGGCTCATTTTTACACTGGTTTCAGGAATACACAGGAGAAGTGAATAATTGAATCATCAAATTCAAAGCTATTTCCTAACCATAATAATATACAGGAGGTTCTTAATGCTTTTGTAATTGTAGCCCAAAAGAAAGCAACTCCATATGAAGATCACACTGAAGTTTTTCCACTGACACAACGACCACATTCCCTTCACTAAGTTTAAAAAGGCATTTGCATCAGTGTAAATCTGAGATGAAAAAAGGTTTTTTCATCATGTTCAGAAAGATTTGGCCTTAGAACTAATCTAGAACACAAGCTGAAAATATAAGCTGTTTACAATTCAGGTAGTTCAATAATTTAATTGTTTTCTAGCAAAATCTCTATGAGAACATTCGTATCTGCATATCTTAGTTTAATCTTTGAAGCAAGAAAATACAACTAAATTTAAAAAAACATGTAAGCAGGCATATCAAGTGGGGAAGCTGTGATGAATTGTTGGTTTTGATGAAGCAAGAAATTAAAATTCCTTAAAAAGAGGAGGAGGAGTGGGAGGAAGAGATAATACCAGTAATTTCTTCATACAGCTACAGCTCAAAAATATAAATGGACTGCTAAGAAAATATCTAAACATATATTTTAAATTCATAATAAAGAATCAAAAGTGTTAAATTTTTAAATACTTGTTTTACAAGTCTTCTCCAGGCGGACTATTGTAAAGAATAGATGACAGCGATACTTCACTGCACCTTAAATGTATGGAGTTGTGTGTCCTGTTTCGGTCTTCTTCATCCCAGATAGACATTGTCATCCTGGAGCAAGTCCAGTGGAGGGTGAACAAGATGGTGAAGGGGCTGGAACACACGATATACAAGCAGAGGCAGATAACCAGGTTTGTTCAACCTCAAGGAAGAAAGGATACATGGAGATCTTCCTGCCATCCCAAATATCTAATGGGTGGATAGAAAGAAGACAGATATAGATACTTATTAGAGGACCACTGTGAATTACAGGTAACAGACATGTTGGAAAATAGGATATTCTAGCTATATATTATGAAAAAAAAATATTGTCATCAATCAAACACTAGAGCAAGCTGCCCAGAAAGATGGTGGAATCTCCATTCTTGCACATTATTAACATATGAACCGGACAAGGTTTTTAAGAACTTGATCCAAGTTGGCCTTGCTTTAAGGGAAAGGTTAGATGAAAGGACTCCAGGCATCCCTCTCAATCTATACTACTCTATCATTTTCATTAATAAATCCTTACTGAAGGGAAGAAAAGTAATACCTTTTTGCTCTGTCACAAGTCATCTTAGGGGAAGTAATAGCATATTTCCCATAAAGCGGTAGGACAGGACATAATTCCAGCTGAAGAAAAGATTCTCAATAAGAAGAGCACTTTCTCTTATTTCCTGGATTGAGACGTATGGACATTTGCCTGCTTACTGGCAGAAATTTTGATAGCTATTCAATGAAACATTGCAAGGTTTTGCATAGGCTTCCAATCTTCCTGAAGACATCTCGGGGAGCTCAACAAAGAACTTACAAAAGCTTCAATGTCGTTACTTGTTCAAGAGAAACTGGGAGTCTTTAAATACTTCGAGACTATGATCTAATAAAGATTGTCTCTCTCTTCTTCAGTAGAAAAATTAAGTATGTTGATTAGCTACTTCCAGTGGTCTAGAGACTTGCTAATTTATTTTTAAAATCCTGCTGCATTACATGCATGATAAATACATTGAACAAGAACCCCTAAAGATATCTAAGTGTAGAGTGCCTTTTTCTCACTGCAAATATCAGAAGAGCAAAAGAACTCCTTAAGCTAGAGCAAAACACTTCAAAAAGAATAAGTAGGTATAGACAGAACATTTATAAATTAACCTGTCAACCTGATCAAAGGCTTTTAGTCATTTGAACAGTGTTCTTCTAGTAGAAGTAGGACCAAAAAGCCATAAACAGCTTTAAAATGGGTCTTGGCATGTTTGCTGGGAAAAAAAACCCTGCAGAATGATTGCCTTTGATAATCAGTAGAAAAAGAGCAACCCACTGGGGTTGAAATCAGAGAGAGGCATGAATTAGGGAAGATGATGAATTAGACTACTGTCTGGCAACCTCAAGTTAGAGAAGGATTAAAAAAATACACAAATAATGCACAAAAGCTATATCATTCAAGTGAGGACAAACTGTATCAAGAGGAAATCTGACAGTGAAGGTGTGATTGGATGAAATCCAGCATCTGTCCTTCCCCCTTGTTTCTTATGAAGAACATATCAAGCCTCTATAGATGGGGCCTCCATACATAAGAAAAATTGAACCAGCTTGAGATGAAAAGGTCCAAGTCACTGAGATTCGGAACCCTTTAGAAACAAGACACAGAGGTCTAGATGGCTGGTCTGGTTAAGAAACAGGTGATTATTCCACAAACAGTAGACACTGGTAATGCAGCAGACAGACATTGGACAGAAAGATGACACTAAAAGATGAGTTGGCATTAAAAAGCAGGGAGGACCAGGTAGGTTGGCAAAGTTGGAGAAAGTGTTAATGACTATGGGAGAGGAAGGATACTAGTGACAAGGAAAACATGCAAATGATTCCTGAATTTGTGTCAATAGTGGCGTGGAACAGGACAGTTGTCTTTAAGGCTGCAGTCCATGTAACAAAGACTCAGAAATGTTTCTAGATGGAAAAAGATGCAGAGGGTGATGTTGAAATGAAGAAAGGTGAGAATCAATGATGAACAGTAGATTAAGATATTGGGAAAAAAAAAAGGTAATGATTATTGACACAGTCAAAAGGCACGCATTTAGAAGTAACATTTTTATAATGAAGATTATAAAGCCAGATAGATAGCAGTCAAAACAATGTATCTATTTGGTCAACGTATTCCTACAATGAGTTCTGGTCAAAGTTTTGTAAATTGCTTTCATATTAAAAGAATTAATGGAGACTAAGTAATTGATGGATTTATAGTCATGTAATAAAGAATTATAGAATAACTATACATTTGAATTCTGTGATGAGCAGTTAATAATGAACAGAGTATTTAAAAGTGATAGGTAGTCAATAAATTATATGCACCACAATCCACTACCAGTCAAGCCTACTAGATGTCTGTAAGTCTACAAATTACTTTTGACATACATTATCTTAAAGAACCTCATGTCCATTGTGAAAACACAACAAAACAAATGCTAATTAAAATACATTAAATTATCACTTCTCAAATATAAATTATTATATGATTATTTGTTTTGAAGTAAAGGTTTGTCATCAACCTCTGTATCATAAAGAATTTTATATAGTACCTTCACAACATACCTTTCACAAAGCATTCATGACAAAACAGAACAGCAGAAACCACACCTGCTGCCTATTCATATGTATTAACCCTTCAACCACACAAACTCTTTTTACGGTAACTAAAATTACTTAAGATACAGTTTATACCTTCACAGGTCCAGATTCAGAGTTAAAAGAAAAATTCTCTTTTTAACCTAATTCTAGAACAGCGTGTCTTTTAGATTTCATACCAGGAGAGCATATTTCTCCTCCTACGAAACCACCGCTAAAACATTGCCTTCCTTTCCTCCCACGTGCCATACCAATGTCATACATACAGCTAACATTAGAAGGCTCTAATCATATAATTCTGTCTTAAAATGTCTTACTTTTTTTTCCTCCTAGAGAACAATTAAATGCCTTAAAAGGAAAAAGATTAAAGCAGCACTTCTGGAATTGCATCAGTGAGACAGTTATTTCCCATTATTTGCAGATAAAAACAGAGTTACAAAAAGTGTTTGAGAATAAACCACAAATTTTAACAGTAATATTTAGATGTAATTAGCATGGGCTTATAAATAGAATTTCTGTCTATATGGGGTAAAATTACAGTATAACATGAAAGCTTTGCTATTACACCATCTTCTGGTTAGGCTTGGGAACTGTGACAGAAAGCTTAAGTTGAGAATTTAGGATACTGAGCTCTGAGCACTCGACAATTGTTAAAAGAAATATTTTATTCATATGGACAGAAAGAGTACATTTCTGATAACAGCTATATCATATGTTGGGTTTTTTTTTAAAGCAACTTACCAGAGTACTGAAAGATGAAGAGGTTCTAATCTCTATGACAGGTGGATCAGGTGTTTGCATATCAGTTACATCATATGTAGGGTCAACCTGTTGAAAATGAATTATGCTATTATTTCAGCATCAGCAGAAAAAGGGAAATAAGAATGAAATTAAAAGTGAGCACACAGTTAACAATCCGGGTCAGTCAGTTCTCACATTCAGGTTCCTCAAGTCATCTACAACAAACAGACTGTTGACACGCTTACTTGTTGTGTCCCCACTTTGACTGCCAAAATGACTTGAAAAACACTGTTGTGGAAACCAGGTAGGAGATCACACTGAAATCTCTGATAAGTTAACTACCCAAATACAAATCACACTCTTACTGAAAATACAGGAAAAACTGTTTTATACTGAGACAATGTCAGAGGCTGATTGATCAGACATCTCATCACAACATCTGCAATTTTGCTTTTAATATCACAGTTGGACTACTTGCTTATTGTTGGTTATAGGACTTACTCTGTAGCTTTAGCAATATTTTACTAATGTCCTTTCCTGAAAGTGAAGCATTGACAAAATATCAGATAATATGAAGTCTGAGAAAGCTTCTGCTTTCATTTATCTTACAGTTTCACCTAAGGATCAGAATAACCTCCCTATAAAAAATTGTGCTATTTTCCCTACCATTATATTATCTAGGTGTATTACAGCCTAAGATGTTTGCCTTCACAGTATGACTTACAGAAGTACTATTCTCATTATTTTATAAACTGGCAAATTTCACAGAAAGACTAGATGACTTTAAAATTGTCAAGAAGCCTAATGTAATAATGAGAAATGGACTTTTTTCTTTTCAACTTTTTATCAGCTATCCAACAGTAGCCTTATCAGAAAGAGCATTAATTCCAAACAACCTACTGAAAGTGGAAAAAAATAAACAAAACCCTCAAAACTCACACTGGCCTAGTGACAGGGTTGTATTTTAGTCACTGAAAGTTTCTTAGATACAAGGGTCATTTTATTTTGCCTTTTCAAGAGGGAGATCCTATCATTTTACCTGAAGACTGTCAAAATTCTGTCTCAGCCAGAGCTGCTCCCTCAGTAACTGCTTCAGCGCTATTTCCATAAGTTAGAATCCCTGATGCTAGGGTCCACATGTTGGCATACAGACCCTTAGGTCAGAGACATGTTTGTTAAGTAGCCAGAACGCAATCTTAAATCCAGAATTAGTAGCCAGGGAAGGAGGGTAATAACATCTTGTAGTGCCTGAAGACTTTTCATTCAGTTTATTTGGATTTCCGTAAGTTACACGCAGAAATTTAGCTTAAAATTAATAGAAGCAAGATATTCCTCAGTAAGTGTAAGTGGAGGAAGAAGACAAACAAAGTTTACTAGTAAGCTAGAAGGTAAAGAAACATTTAAATACAGATATTATCAGATTATTGAAGGTGAGAGAGATTCTCACACTTTGCAGCACTTACAAATCAGAGATGACAAGCCTTCCTTAAGGGGAGATCTTAATTCTGTTTTTAAGTTTGTTCACTTTTCTGTCTAGCTTTTTCTTTCATTCAGTTTCAACAAGTATTCTTCATTCATGAACTCTTTTTTTCTGTCTTCAGATTATATTTGCATCAATCAAGAATGAGCAGGGACTCAGGGACAATCAAGAAAACCCATACTGCTACAGGGCCATCACAAGCTGCATACTTAAAATTCTCCCTCATTTGTAGATATTAGGATCTTCTCCCTCATATACAGATATTAGGATCAAGTCCTGCTTTCTTCCAATTTTCTCAAATAGATTTGGAAGAAATAAAGGGATAAAGGAGAATGAAAGCATCTTCTCAACAGAAATATGATCAAACATAGTCTCCTCTGAATATGGTATTGATTACCACTTTATCAGTGCTAAAGCAAAGAAGAGAGGAATCACAAATTTTACTTTCTTCCCCTCCATACATGACATGCCTATGGAGATTAAACAGGCAACTGTCCCAAAGAGCTTACATTTATTCAGTGCCCAGGGTCATTTGCTTCTGACATTCAGTCAGTCCTGCAATAAATATAATTAATGCATTATCAGAGTATCAATCCTACTACGAGCAGCTAAGACTAAAGCAGTTTTCTGACATGAATCATTTGGGTGCTGAAGAGAGGACAATGCATCTGCTGGATTCTGCAGAAGAGGGATAACAGGTGCCTACCACTTATCAATACTTTAATGTGGAGGAGCTACTGTAGTATTATTACTAATAGCTCTTGAAACATCCTCTTTGAGGTATCTCCTTCTTATATACATGGAAGATATTGTAGAATGAATTAAATGCTTTTCTTGATACAGGTTGCTAAATAAATATATGGTATTACTAAGTTAAGAAAATGTGGTCTTTATGTGGAAGTGTCATATCCTGGACTTGGAATGAAAGTTCCTCTTCATATAGTTCTGCTTACTGCTTTATCAGAGATAAGGGGACGATGAGGAGCACTGCAAACACTGACTAGGGGTGCAGGAACTATCATAAACAATATTTGAAAAAATTAAATATAAAACTATTAAGCAACTAGTCAGAGCATCTAAAAAGTGTCCAAGGAAATGAGCACGAAACCATGAAGGCTGTAGATGAACACTTTTTACAAATATTAGTGTTTAATATTGCACTAAAAATTAATGAGATAATGGAATGACTCTAAACGTGAAAGTTTCAAATTACTTGACATTTCCTAACAAGCTATAAAATAATCCTACCAAACATATTTGGAAAGATTTAACTTTAAGAAACAAGACAGAAAAACCAGAACACTAAAAAGCAAGGTAGGGAGAACTGTCATGTATTAAAGGTTTTCAATTTAAATTTAATTTAAATTTAATTTAAATGCTTTAATTACTTGGTAGACTGATACATAATAAGTAGATAATCATCTTTTAATATGATAATACAATTATCACATTTTGATCCATAGCACAAGAAAATATATCTGAAGGAAGGTTTCTATAAATCCTTCCAAGCATTCAAAAAATGAAGTCAATAAAATTAAAAGAGGAAGTTCTCACACAAAGTATTTCCTAGGAAAGTGATGTGAAATAGTCTCTCTAAACATACCAAGAGAAAATTAGCATTCAATTTCATTAAACACCGTTTTTGTTCTAGACTGGAGCCCTCAAGCCAAGCGAGCCATATATTCTTTTTCCTACTGCCACCTAGTGTATATTTGGATTTCCTTCATCTAGGAAAATATTTACAACTGAAATTACACCGGAGATTTTAAGATAAAACTAAATCAACAGAAGCTGTTTATGCTCAAGATATAAACTCCGTGTACCTTAATATTGTTCAAATCTCAAAGCTATGTTTTGAAAGGAAACTTTTTTCTACCTTCCATATATATATAGAGGTCTCTAGATTATAAAAGGTAAATTATGTACAAATATGACAAATTCATAAATAGAACTGTCACCTAGTGGAATGGATTTTTTAGTATTTTTCACTAAAACTGCATTACTGTTTAAACATACTGTTTTCAAATAACTCCAAAAGATCCTTATGTCAAAGAGATACAATGACTGGGATTTATCTCAGTTAAATTTAGACATACTGCTGGACATCTATATTTGAGCTGGTCACCCAAGATTACCTCTATGGTCAACAGAAAAAAAGTAGGTGCCTTCCGAGAACAAGTCATTTACTTACATTTCCAAATAGTCTGAATAATTGTAATAGTTATAAGGATTAAATCTCTACTTACTCAAATATTCAAGAAATCACATTGATCAGTGCAGTTGGAGAAGAGTTGTAAAGATTTATAAATCAAGAACAGGAAATTCAACACTTCATTAAAATTCAGGCTACTGCTGGTCTGAGGAGGAGGAGTTTTTGTAAAAGTTAATTATATGTCAAAAAAACGGTATGTAGAGAGAGAGAAAAAAAACTAGGGAAGGTGACTTAAATACTAACAGTTCCATGTATAGCTTGGAAGAGTGAACAACCAAAAGTTTTGAGAAAAGGTGAAAGTACACACTAGCTCCATGTTTCTGTCACTATCCTGAAGGCAAGACACCAGGTGATACCTGTAATTCTTAATGCCCTTATGCAAGCTGCTTTATTCAAAACAGCATTTCCAACAGGTGATGTGGGAAAACACTGTACTGTGTCTCTGATGCCAGCCAAAGAAACCATCGAAGTATAACTCAGGGTAATGCATTATAACACATCTCAAATGTCTAGATAACATTGTAGTGTCTTGTAGCAAACCTTAAATGGTCATCTATGCTTTTAAATATCCCATATCTGAACTGCCTCTTCTGCCTGCTTGTAATTCTTGCATATGTTACCAAGTCTCTTAGAAAACTGTTACTTCCGTTTAGTTAAGATCGATTATCTTACCCCATTCACAGAAATATGAAGAGAAAGGAAGAAAATAAAGAGAAAGGAAACAGTTCTGCATATTATCTGAGGTGCAGATACCAGGGAAAACTGTGTCATTACAATTGCTGTACTGTAGTGGAACAGATAACCCAAAAAGACTGGGGAATCTCCATCTTTCTTCAAGGCCTTCTAACTAGACACAGCTTACTTTATGTACCATTAACAAGAAGAACAGATGACCTCCAAAAGCTCATTCTGACACATCTGTGATTCAATCCCTCCTTTCCCGTATATATGAGAAACATGATGAGCCACTGAAAGATGAGGGTGGTATTGTGGTGGAAGTGTCTAATGTCAAAATTCTGTCTATTGCCTCAACCTTAGAAAGAGGTTGAGGTATTAAAAAAATAACAAATTTTAACCAAAGAAGGACAAATTTTTTTTTCTTATCCAGAGTACAGCATAGCACAGTGGGGCTAGACACGATGCTTTCTCTCATTTACAAGAGGAAATATTTAAGATGATGGAACACCGAAAAATTTCAAGCACAGTTAGTGCCACTAAAGTATATTACTGCTGGTAGTAACCTGATGCTAGTTTTGTCTGGATAAATTATGTTTCTGTCCAGTTGGTAAGGTCTATTCTTCCTCACCATAACAAATATCCCCTTAGTAGACAGGAGAGGCAATTAAAAAAACAGGAAAAGACATACGGAGAAACAGAACTTAGTAACTTCACCTTAACTTTGTCTAAATTGCTGTATTATTACATTAATTCTGAAAATTAGCTGTAGGAGAGATCCTAATCACTACTACTATAATATTTAATTTACATATATAAAAATATAGTACATTACAATAATATGAATTTTGTGGAACTATCAGACACTGTTTTGTCTTAAAGAATATAATATACTTCATGTTTATTTGAGAGAAAGATATTCTACTGACTGTGATGTTTTCTATTAACATCACTAACTGTGATGTTAATAGCAAACTAAACACAACAACCCTCTTCCTAAAATCCTGAAATCAGGCCAGAAAATAAACCACAAAGAGCCCAAAACTTTGCTATGACAAATGTCAAAGCCATAGAGCCCTTTCACTACTATGGAGCACCTATGAATAAATGCAGACATTAGGTTAAGTGAATCTGTCAAAACTAACTGATAAATAATTTCTTGACATTCAACTATCAAATTTCCCTGATGTGCCCTTTCAGTATTGACAACGAGGTCCTTCCTAGCCTTAGTTTAACTTTAGCCTGAACTCATCAATGCTTTTTCAGAGCTTCTCAATTACCTGGGATCAGGAATAGGAAAAAAAACCTGAAAAATTGCTTTAGAGTACATTCACATCTTTGCCAGGCATCTGAGCAGCAGAGGTCTGGAAACATTGACCTGAACAGAAAGCAACCGAACCCTGCAGCTATAAGCTACTGTTTACTTAGCACACGTTATAACTGGGTGCAATTTGAAAGGGTCTTGAAGCAAACTGTTGATACAGCAAGAGTGGCTTAAATCTGCTGGCAAATGCTGTGATAGAGTTCGTTCTGGCACTGACCAACTATACTGAAGGTTGGTAGCAGCAAACTTAACTTCATTCATTGACCTTTCAATGAATATCAAAGTCCAGCACAGAAGCTTGTTTATGAAGCTTGTCATACATGCAGTCATCCTGTTCTTGTTCTGACCAAAAAGCTAAGCATTAGAAAGCTCCACATCCAACATGACAATAGAACCAGGCACATGAGAAATCTCACTGATTAATTCTATCAGAGTTCCCCTCCTCCACCAAAGTGTTTGCCATCTTTATACTATTCATATTGCATATATTTATATTGCATACGTACCCGCCCACCAAAAAAAAAGCTCAGTATCCCCAAATGTCAATGTTTTAAAACTCTGAGCAAGAAACAAATGCCATGGCAGCAGTATCTACATTTTATATGAACACAACCAGGTAATGGTGAATTTCTATAGTCCTATGACAGTATATGACAGCAACCAAAAAGTTCCAAGATTTATCTGTGAGACACTTCTTCCACACAAGAGGCACCTGGACAAAATCAAAAAAGAGATAAAAGTACAGGTAATCATCATGCAGAAACTAGCCAGTTGTATCAAGGACAGTCACAAGTATAGCATAAACAATGGCCTCATTGAAGGCATAGTACTTTTTACCAATCTGCTTTTAGACAATGTGACAAACAGGATTTTTCCAGATAATGAAACAGAATATTTGATATTTCACTTTGGTTCCCAAATGTCCAATACTTCCAAGGGATGCCAGTAGATGCTTTGACAGTAATGTAGTTCAAGAATGAAGTTATCATGAAATCAGACTACATAGTGACATAAAACACACTACTAACCTATAAAGTATTTCTAAACTTTTAGATAGATATCAAGGTCTTCTCATGATACCTAATGGTCTTGGAAAGAGGAACAACTTGTTACAATCAAATATTTGACTTTCAGTAATAATGTCACTTTGTCCTGTTTATAATGATGTATTTTGATTAGTATTCTAAAGCTCAATGCAGATTTAGATACCTTCTGCAACACTTGCCAAGTTACTTCACAAACCAGATCATCATCTATGTTTTTTCTAAATCAGACTTATATTAGAAGCATGAAAGGAATTTCAGCATAAATCTGACAGCATCAGCTAGTCTAGTAAACTTAATGTGGATTCATAAATTATGGTTGCTCCCAAAGTATTATACATAACAATAAAAAGCTCTCTGGTATACATAGAACATATTTAACTATAAAAGCCAGACAGTCTCTACAAAAGTTTCTGGTTTCCTATATTAGATAACTTATTGCACTCACCTCAACTGACTGAAGTTTTTCGTCATGGAGATGAGGTGATCTCGGGTAAATATCAAGAAGATGAGGAGGTTCATCAATATGTGTTCTTCTAAAATTGTGTTTAAGAACTTCTTTATAATCAAAAGAATCAAAGTTGGTTTTCCATAGTAATACCTGTAAGAAGCCATCATATCAGTAACTACTAGAAGCCTATTCAGTGCTCAAAACATAACTCCTGAGTGAAGTCTGTTATTACTAATAGAGCACTACATCAGAATAAGCCTGCAGTGATCACTTAGTCTGATCTCTACAACACAGGCACTTCCCCAGAGTATCTTGCACTTCAAGTCTAAAAGATGTGGTTCAGTCTATTAAAAAAACACAAACAACTATAAAATATGCCCATAATCATAAAACAAAGGAAACTTCTGTCCCACTGGACCAAGTTATTTTTTTGACAAATCAAGTGGTCATACACTGTTAAGTTTCTGCCCCATATAAAGGCTTGCAGGTCTAATAAGAAAGTTTGAGAGCATAAGAGAAATGACAGAGTTCCACAGAACACTAAAACACCTGGTTCCAGTGTTTTAGCATCAGGAATCTGTTTTCTGAACCTTGTCCAATTATACTCTAGGTAGAAACAATATACAACAGTCACACAATGGACGAATGCAGAAGTGAGGTCACAGAATGGAGAGGTAGTCCAAAGATGTTCTATTGATTTAGTCTTATAGATATTCCAGGAAACCAAACCATAACACATCCTACATTTACAGTAAACCAACAGAGTCAAGAAGTCCCACAACTATTCTCCCGGCACACCTGGAAAAGGGTTGTAGACAGATCAGCAAAATAGGATGTCTGTGGAATACATGTGTGTATACATGTAGTGGTTTGAACCAGGTTTTTCCCTGCAGTTCTAAAATGGTAAAACCCCCAGAGGGTGGTAAGCCTTGAAGTTTTGAAGTTTTAGCCAATGAGTGCTTCTGCAAAATATAAACATATCACAACCAAATGGAAGAGAAGACTTGTTGTAGTTTGGTTGTAGAAGAAGGCAGCCATGTTGTGAAGCCACAAGCAGAAAAGGGCAAGAGCCCCTGGGGGGCTCTGGCCCCCCAGCCCCTGGCTGGGGGGAGCTGCAGGGACTTGGAACAGCGTAATGCTGGGCTAAGTGCCTGTAGCTGAATTCAAAAGCCAAAGGAGTTTTTCTCTCCACCGTGGGAAGCAGCAGGAGTAGCGACAGACCAGCACTGACCGGAGAAACGGTGGCACAGAGCCAGAAGAGATAAGATGAAGCAGCAGAGGCATTACAGCCAAGTAGGAGAGAACTCCTGGAAGGAGAGAGAGAGAGACAGCAGCAGAGAGACAGAGTTTTGGGGGTAAGAACTGAACCAGACCCCCCAAACTCCTTAGAGACCCCTCACATCCTAGAAGGGAGGGGTGAAGTGCGACATGCACTGCAGAGAAGAGCTAAGAAGCTCAGTTGTCCTGAGAGTTCACCCAGGACAGTGTATAGGAGGTTGACCTTGGGGCCCTCCCTTGCTGCAAGCTACAAAGAAGCTCGCAGCCATCTTGAGGCAGGGCACAGAAGCTCTGCAAGGGGCTTTAGTCCCCTGAAGATACCAGACCGTCACAGAGACTCCTGTGCTCCGTTGATATGACCATAGTGGAACGACCTTTGTCTGGGGTGAACGTAGCCCACGGAAGACCCCTTTGCCTGCGTCAAGGGGCCAAGAGGAGCTTGGATATCCCCTTGCGTGTGCTAGCAGAAATCCAGCCATCAGCTGCGCATGAGAAAAGGACAGATGACTGCTGCCTTAGAGACGCTGCTGCTCTGAAGAAGGGATCTGTCCTTCTTCCCTCCTGGACTTTTATTTGGAGGGGAGAAGAGATTTGATCCATTGTAAATACTTATGTCATGGTAGAGATAGCTAAGACTGTATATAATGTATTGTAGTATTTATTTGTATAGTCATTGTAATATATTCCCTTTCCCCATTTTGAGTCTCGTGTTTTGTCTGGAAAAAATCATCCCACATTAGGTTGAGATCTGGAAGGGGGCTAGGACTAGGGAATTGGATTTTGGAGATCTCAAACCATGACAATACACCAACAGAAAATGGACACCGAAGAATAAAGTTCTTATGTTTACTATAGATAAAGATATATACACTGGTAGTTACCTAACAGTGGTTAGCAATGAACATTTTAAACTTAGAAAAGTAAAAACTACACCGAAATAAGTAGCCCTCTCCCACCAAACCTTGCATAAAACAAAGGGAAAAACTTCAACAAATACAGGAACGCCTGTTTTTAAGGTAACTAAACCCAGGATTCATTATCAGACTACTAGGACTACTTTTTTAATTCAACATTTAACTAAGAAAGTGCTTCCTGATGAAACTGGATCTTCCTTCTCTTGCATTCAGCATGAAACCACTACATCAAACTGCTGAGAAACATGAGGATCTTATAAATTTTTACCTACTCTCTCCATGATTCCGTGCACCACCAGCTCTACAGCATGGAATCAGGGCAGGAGAAAGGCAATGACATGACTGCACTGAACATGCCTGTTTATTCAGGGTGCCCCAAATTCAAAGGAAGTTTGAAATAAGACAGGCATTCCCAGGGCATGCTGGCATTCAACTGGGAGGCTGTGTTAGGCTTAACGCAATAGGTCCTTTCCATCATCAGAGCTCCCAGACAACTCTTCAGTTATGTGACCGAGTTTAATACATGCACTTTGTTTCCTCTCAAGTTAAGTATAATATACAAATCATCATAAAACTCAAATGAAGTACTCATGAAAGGTAAGGTCAACAATTCAGAATTACTTGGAATCTAAGTTGCATTTTGTAACTTAAAAAAAAAATCTTATTAAAAACTTATGTATGGAAAAGATTCTATTAGTGAGTGAAGAAATAAATCTCTTTCCCTGGTTCTTGGGTTGTTTTTTTTTTTGGTTGTTTGGCCAGTTTTTAGCCGTTTCGGGTTTTCTGTTTTGTTTGGGTTTTTTTTTCCACTTGTAAAATTACTGTTGGAAGTTTGACAACATTTTCACTTTTCCAGTAACTGCAAATCTTGGCAGTGCTTCTTAATAAACACCTTGTGACAGAAAGTAATTTTTTTTTCTTTTTCTTTGAGTGCTTTCAAGTCATTCCAGAAAAGTGTGCTACTGGAAGCAATAAGTAAAAACAAGAAACAGACTGCATTTTTTCTAATGTTACGGAAGTTTTTAATAAAAAATATTTATTATTTCAATAGCTGAAATTTATTTCAAACTCCACGAAACAGAATATAAGCATGAATAATGGTAAATTTAAAAGTTCTTAATTTCTACATCATGGCTTTCTGTATCTACATTGAGCTTTTAGTTTTTTGTAACAGGAAACAATGGAAAAGACAACTAATATTAGGGAACATTTCAGACTGAAAACTTAAGCCTAGTGCTACAAAAGTTCTTTCATCTGGAAAATGTAAAGACCTGATAGAGATGATTCCAAGCTTGATAATATTTTTTTAATTGTGAGATTCATCACAGCAGATGAAGGTTAATTATCTGACTTGCTGTTTAATTTAACTTTTTTATTTTAAATGCTCAAACAACTCTTCCCTATGTAAAATCCATTACTTTACTGTTTCACTGAAGTAAATTAGCAAAGCTAACACAGGACTATTTTTCCCCAATTCTAGCCAAAGTTTTCCCAGTAATATACAACTTAATTCTTACAATTACAGAGTACAGACTTTAAAAGAAGCCAAAACCTAACGGAGCAGCTAGGCCTTAATACTAACTGCAACACAACTACTTTGTTGACCCTGAATTGCAACACTGAAAGCACTGAAAGTATTTTTATTTAAAAATCATTCCTTTATTTTAATATTCAAAATAGAAGCAGCCAATATTGTGGTCTGCTCCTCATCATAACATCCAGTGGAAAGTCTATATAACACACTAGTAGACAGAATGCACGTGAGCACACTGTAACTAGCATGTTACTGTGACATACTATATATAACTCCCATCCACTGCAACAAACATTAAGATATTCAATTTAAAGAGACAATAGCACAAACCTGAGCATCTGCTCCACCTGAGGCAAATTTTTCACCACCTTTTGAAAAAGCCACAGAAAGTACAGGTCCCTGGGGAAAAAAAAACAAACATACAGTAAAATTACATTATTACTGTAATCATGGTACTTTAATGCAAAGAGAAAAACATTGATGCCATTACCTACTATAACATACTTTTCAATTTTAATAAAATAAGGAACAATTTTACTGAACTGAAATTTTTGCCAAACAATTTCATTGAAGAGTTAATATTGCACTTTTTAGTTAGATGCTGCATTGCAATTACTATAATCAATACTAGGAAAATAGTGGCATTTTCATTAGATTTTATACTTCAACTCTGCAACAAAAAATTACAAAATATATATTATATTACTCAAGGCTATGTGTTTGATTCATTATCAAAAATACGGTTTGTTTTGCATAAGAGGAAAGGGAGGAAATGCCTGCCATTCTTCACCAAAGTTGTCTTCCGTAAGCTTCTCCCTCCTTAGAAGCACTGTTTTTTAACAGACAAAAGACTAAGTGCCAAATAACATGATTATGAAAATCAAGAGTGGATTTTCAATTAATTCAGAACACGAGCTATTACTTAACATTAAGCATGTAACATTGACAGATAAAAAGCATGGCCACAGGTAAAACCGATGCATACCCTTAACCACTTGTAATAAGGTGCATTAATACAACATCTTGCTGTCCACTAAAGTTCATCCACAAGTTGTAAGGTACCAGACACAATAGCATAAACGTTACTTTCTCCTTGAAAAGATACTGAACAATCTGTTAAGATCTCCACTTAAAGGGGATTATTGTGTATACCTTGTGTCCATGGAGAGTGTAAATAAGTCTTTCTTCTAAGAGGTCCAGAATCTTAAGGGTACCATCAGTAGAAGCAGTGATGAGGTAGTTACCAGAAGGATGGAATGATACACAATTAACCCCTGCTCTGTGAACTAATTTACAGAAGACAATATTCAAAGGCTGTAGATATCTACTAAGAAGAAATGTACACTTTATTTCTTTGCTCTTTTCTACTTCCCAAAGAACAGCCCTCTTCATTTAAGGGAAAAACAACCAAAGTGCTGGGGCATAGCAGACTCTCCAAAGTATTTGCTTAGTTCTGTTCGAAAAATTAAGAGATGCAAAGAAATAAAAAGGATTCAGATTGGATTTTTAGGGTTGCGAGACTACAAGAAGATACTTACAATATGCCAGTATGACTTGTTTGTCCACTTTCCCCAGTAAGGAATGAAATAATATACTCTTAATAAATCACATTTCACTGCAAAGAGCTCCCGTTGTAAAGAAAATGAAACTAACTACATTGCTTTTACCTTTGAAATGCTGCAGTAGCTTGTTTACTCGAATATCCCACAGTTTCACTGTATGATTGGAACCTGCAGAAACTATACACGTTCCACTTGGGTTGAAATCCACAAAATTTACAAATCTAAATATAATTAATGAAAACAGATTGATTATGTGTTTCCATAGAAATATTTAGGTGTGTATATATATATATATAAAACCCACTATATTAACATTAAGTCGCCAAAAACTTGTGTGAAATCCACAGGTATGGAAACTCAAGGCATTTCAAGTAACTGAAATAAGCATAAGAAAACAAGATGTGCATGATAAATCAGACTGTATAATGTGGCTTTTGTTGAAAATATAGTATAATTGACCCAACTCAAATCTTCAGAGTTTGTGCTGGAGTATAAAGTCCCTAGAAGATAGTGCTGCAAAGAGTTTGTAAGCAACAAGTAAAATAACTATGTCTAAAAACTGAATATCTAGCTATAACAATATTTTAAATTGGCAAAAAGGATGAAGGCAGCCATGAAACCAGCAAAGCACATATACAAGATATATATTCCACTGACTTGTTAATTAAAGCTCTGTTTCCAAGATGTTTAAGAAAACTGCATATAAGTAAAGCAAGTATTTTTTATATTTAAAGAAGGCAGATCACTGAAGCTAACAGAATAATGTTTTCATCAACAAATGGAAAATTCTCCAACTCTTCTTCTTGTTGAAGCATCCAATATCAAACAGCATTATTAAAATGGAGGGAAAACATGAAAACATTACAAAAATCCAAGAATAACCCCAATTCTGCCCGGACTATTTCTTGATTGCTGGAAAACAGCTGGATAAGTGCAGCCAGTTAACCTCTTTAGAAGAACTCTGTATGAATTATTTTACTTCACATCGGTGGTAGAAGTTTGATCTATTTTCAGATTTAACATATACAGATGTTAATACCACAGAAGATGCATTTAATCTCATTAGAATGACACATTTACATTTCTCCTTTTTTTCTAGTAACACTTACCCTTCATAATCTGAGAAGCTATTAATACAAGTTTTATTTCTTGTATCCCAGATCTTAACAGATTTATCCTCACTGCAAGATGCTATTATTCTTCCGTCAGGTGAAAATCTGGAACATGCAAGTGAATACACTATTAAACAGCTGATACTACCTAGATGAGCATTAGAGACATAAGTTGCAAAATACCAGAGCCAAGAAAGCCCATTTGAAATAAAGATGTGTAACATTTAAAGGACATTTGAATGTCTCATATTTCTCAGGGAGTAATAAAACCGAAAAGCTTCTCCCCTTACTCTTCCCCCCTTCATTTCACAATCAACTGCAATTAAAAACAGAGCCATAAACAAGAGAAAGAGAGGGGTAGGGGAGGAAGGTATCAGCAGCCTAAGGATGTCACTTTAGATGCCGAGGATATTACTATAGAAAACTATAAGCAAAAGACAAAGAGGACACAGTAGAACCTTGTGTTCCATTTTAACCTACATATATGTTCTCCTCTGAGTTCCCCCTAGACTTACAAATTGTTAGCAAAGCATTCACAATTACTCCTAGACTAGTAGACTAGGTTTTTAAATAGTAAAACTGATTTGTGTAGAATTTCCTCAGGCATTATTTTTTCACATCTTGAGCAACTGCACAAGGACATTAGAAAACTGTTCAAGAACTTCCACATGCGATTTCCTAGAGCTTTTCTTTTTCTTTTCAAGTCAGATACTTTGAAACTTTGTAGAGCTCTGCACTTCACCAGGGTTAAGTTTTTTTCTCAAGAGCTTTAAATCAGGCATCTCTCAGCTGCAAATTGCCCATCAATATGGCAAAAAGGAAAAGGAAAACCAGCAAAGAACAAGAATAGTTAAGAAAACCCTTATCACGCATAATAAATCTAAAAACAAGTGAATGCTGTGAAATAAGTTAATACAGCATGAAAACAAACACAACTGGGGAAAGACGGGATACAGAAGACCGTGTTGGTCCTTTAAAGTAAAAGAATTAATATACAGCAACAGATTTAATATGTACACATATTAACACAGAGTAAGCTTTCATACTTCAACTAGGAGATATATACAAAACTTGTGTAAATAAGATTGCTTAAAATTTAATTATTACTGATAGATAATCATTTGTCTTTCACGGATTTTTCTTCCCTTAGTTCTACCTTGGGACATAAAAACACCTTGTTAGGAGTTCTACTTTACCAAGAGAATAAAAATAACACTTACTTGGCACAGAGAACCCAACGAGTGTGTTGGAATAGGGTAAACAAAAGGCGCTGACTGCAAACACTCCATATTTTTATTGATTTATCATTGGATGCTGAAACTAGAGAGCAGCCATCGTGGGAGAAGCTCACACTACGAACAGATGCTGTATGACCTTTCAATACTGATGATTCTCCATGACTAAGGGGGTAGGAGGGAAAAGAAACAAAACCCCAAACACCAAGTCATGAATCACAATTATATTAAAGAGTTTAAAACCCCGTAAAACTCAATGTTAACATATATAGAACCTCACCCAAATGAAAAAGCAGCATATAGAGGCTAAATCTTAGTGTCACCATTATTTTTTTACTTATTCCAATATTAATTATTAGAAAAACATTCTTTAAATTGCATTTAATATGACACAATTTTAGAGAACTGTGCAAATAACTAGAAGCATTAACCTTTAGCACCACTAGTATTAATATTTAAAAGAGAATTTTTTATACAGTAATCTACAAAATGTTTGAAAGTTAAAGTAACATCCGTTTTTCTAAGATCATTTCTAATTGCTCATAATCACTACTACTTAAGAACAGTGTAATAAGGCAAGCAGATTAAAAACAGTTTTTTTCCAAAAAGTCATTTTGCTTCCTTCATCACTTCTCTCCCCAAAATGAAGTGCACCCATGCAATCCTTACTAAAATATAATCTTTAATCCAGACAAATACTACCAAACCTAGTCCTACACACATGAAACTGTGACCTTTGAATTGTTACATTTTTCTTTTGAAACTACAGCATATTCAGTAAAGAACAAAGTAACACAGTAAAGAACTGTGCTATTTGTGCTCCCTGATCTCTGTGGGAAGGAAAAAGAAACTTCTCTTGAGCAGACTCCAGTATTCACATTGCACTTCAATGAAACACATACCATAACATTGCCAGGTTATACTCACATGCAAGGAACCCATAGTCTGACAGTATGATCTTGAGAAGATGAAGCCAGTAGCTGCCCATCTGGTGAGAACTCTACACTGGTCACTGCTTCCACATGGCCTACAAATCTGTAAGCTCTGCATCGTGTCTTCAGTTTCCACACCATAAGAAACCTATCCAAAGAGCAGGTAGCTGGCAAGAAGTAAAAGATATTAGGAGTCTCTTCACTGTTCTTATAAAAATCAGAGCTAATGGCTATGGATTAGGATTCAACAGTGAATTTACTGAGTCTTATGGGGATGGAGGAGTTGTTGGGTTTTAATGGATACTTGACCTGAGTAGAAGCCTGGCAGCAAACAATGCCAAAATCAGGTTTTTCAAAGGTTATCACAAGACTGGGAGGAGTAAAGAATAATACCTAACAGGCAGCTCTCTCACATACTAAGCAAACCACCTTGCAAGTACTTGGAAGATACAGAACAAAAAATCCAAAGCCACACACCATGCACACCACTAAGTACGAATCCAGACTGGTGTTACCAAATACTAAGACAAATAGACAAATTCTTCAGTAATGTCATTTTGATTTCTGAGATGAAATTTGTTTCAAGGATCAAGTGTTTAATTCTGAAAAAACAAGCCAACTTGAACTCAAGACATGATTTCTAACACTTCAGATATCTACACTAAAGATATCCATATATGATAATTCTATAATCCTATTTAAGTACTGATTTTATAATACTAATATTTGTCTAGTTCAAAACACAACATAAAGTTGTCAGTCTGATAATAGAAAGAACTTTTTTTTCTTTGTAGTTACTTTACAGGTGGATCATCCTATCTACATTTGAAAAGGCAAGCATAACTTCTACCAGAGTTTGATCGTTTTCAGGAAACTATATGCAGCAAAGGGAATAAGCAGCTGAATTAAACTGGTATGTGTGATATTCTTACATCCCTATTATCTTCATCTCTGCTGTTAGCATGCAGGACATAAATAAACAAGGTATTCACACACCCATCCCTCATCTATAAATTCCTACCCCTAGCAGAGAAAAGGAGGGAGAGGAAGAACAGAGACCTCCTAGAAGTTGAAGAGGACATGAAGAGAAGAACAGTTCTTCTCTTCCTAGACTCTTTCAAGCACCAACATAGCACAGAGGAATTGAGTTTATTATCATGAGTGTCAAGGCAATCCTCAAACAAAATGCTAAAATATAAAATATTAGATATTAAATTCTCTTTATGAATTTGATACAGAAATATTATTTTTATTCCCCAAAGACTAGCCTTTGCTAAAAGACATGAGACCAGACTATCTCTATGCCCATATCAATAGGTCTATATTTGACAAATAAATACAGGATATTTTCCCCCTGCTTCAATTTTTCAGAACTCTATTTTACAGCAGGCTCTTTCTAACTGAAAGAATTTCTTTTTCACTTTGATTCAGAAAAATGGAATCTAGAGTGGCATAAATCTGAAAGGCAAAAGTGAAATGTAAGCTAAAATAGAATTCAAAGGCATCAAGTCGGAAATGTGAAACAGACAAGACTGATGGTTTCTAAAACAAATAATTAAGGAACTACCAAATACCTATGGTACCTTATGAACTGCACGAAGGCTGTGCAATACCAGCTGTTTCTGCTTTCAGTTCTAAAAACTGAAGAAAATATTCTTTGAAAGATGACAGTACAATACATTCAAAGCCCGGTTTCTTATAGCTTGCTCGCTCACAGATGGGTTATCCCAAGGTTAATGAGACACAAGCAGTGACCTGAAGTTCTTCCCGTGGTACATCCACCATCATCTTCCTTGTTTTCCCTCTGGACTATGCTGCCTATGCTTGCACAGCATCCTCTCTCCATCCTTATGTATATGTCTCTCTTGAAACCACCTGCCCATTACCATGACACACAAAGACTATTACTATCTCTAATAAGCAGTTCCAGCCCAGCCAACACCACCCCAGAGGTGATGGAGGGAAGAAGGTTCAGGATTTGCACAGAAAAGGGTGAGTAACTGACAGACTCGTTACAGAAGTATTTTCCCTAAGGCACACGGGTTGATGTCACTCTATATCTGAACACCATGAGAGAGACAGAAACTCTAAGCCAAAACTCTACATCTATATTGAACTTTGGCCCCTATCCTGCAGGAGAAATCAGTCCCTTTAACATCAATGAGGCTCAGCCAAGCCAAACTATTCCCTGTCCAAGCGGGCTGAAAAAGATTTTGGTGCATATGGCTAACACCCAAGCATTTCACTGTAATGGTAAACGTTTTACCTTAACTAACCACAAGCAGAAAATACAAGAGTACATAGTATGTTGCCAGCAATACTAATCTTAAAACCAGTTTTATCCATGAAAATGTACTTTGATCAAGTAAACATCACTATTTCTCTTTATTCCATTCTAAGGGCTTTTGCCTACTTTACAAGAATGCTGCTTCTCCAATTTACTCAAGCACAGTACTTTAAGGCTGCACAGATGATGCGTTCTGACAGCATTTACTGAGTATATCAGCACCCTTTATTTTGGTGACTTTCAGTCACCAAATCACCACTAAATAGTCCAGAACAGATCTCCAAGGCTAATTTAAAGTACTGGATCTGAAACAAAAAAATACAGAAGGTCCATAAGAATTCTTTAGGATGTGCCATAGTGCAAACAGGTCTATTGCTCCTCAGAGAACACATGACACAACCAGAACCATGTTTAGAGACATGTCCTTGCTATGAAAATATTTGATCAATTGCAAAATACAACTAAAAAGTAGAAAGCTGAAAATTCACACTGAGCTGAATCCAATATGCCACTTAGTCCAGTTTATAGCCCAAGTGCCTTTTTTTTTAAACATCAGTGCTTCTGTACACATGCAAGTATAGCTGATACGTCACTGGGTAATTTGATTTTCTGCTGATGAGTCATAACAGAATTGAACACCTAAGAATAAAGACTTGGCCTTAGGCAAAGGCCAAGTTTACACACCACTTTGGTGCAGATCTCTAAACAGATATCTGAGCTTCAGGTATGCCATGAAAAAAATTGTGTGGTATTTGCAATGAAACAAAGTTCAATTTATAAATTGTGACTGCATACTATGGTATACATTTTCATATATACCCACATATATAAGAAGACACAAGTTACTGTAATACAGAATTACCATTTCATTCACACAGTACCACAGTGTTGACTAAGAAAGTTGTGCAAAGATCAGAAGAGACAAACTCAGTAGGTTTTAACACCTAGATGTACCTCTCTCAAAGTAAGCATCTCTAATATAATTAATTGCTCAATGCAAGAGTTACAGGGCAGATGGAACACAGGGCTGTGCACATGATGGGTGTGTGAATATTCAAATACCACCACTACCAACAAACCCCTACACTTTACAGGAACTCTGTAACTCTCAATGTCATAAGGTGCAACATCACAATACAAACATGTTTGTGAATTGCAAGATTTCCTACTTGGCAAAAAACAATTATTAATTGAACTTCTGTCAAGAAAGCCAATCTGGAATTCTAAGCACAGTGGATAAAACACAAGGAACTTCTAATAACTCACATAAGTTCAAGTTCATGACAGTTTTTATCACACACTATACATTACACAAGAGAAAGAGAACTGAAGAGTCAGCACACTAGTAAATATTTAATTGTCATTCTGGATTTTATTTTTTAATAGAAACCCCAAAGCCCTCCACATTTATTCAGTGTTAAGTTTACATTCAATTTTTTTAAGTCACTTAGAATCAGTAGTTTAAAATATGTACAAGTGTTTCCCAATTTTCAAAGTCTAACAGAATAGAAAACCATTCAGAGTTTCAGATTTTCCAGAAATCTATATATACTGAAATATAACTGGAGTATTTCTGTAGAGTTGCTGCAACTCAATTCAAAACTAGTTGAACTTGAAATGGCAAGGTAGGTTTTCTTTCTCTTCTTTCTTTTTCTCTCCTTCTCTAGTCCCTCCTCCTTTTATTCCCGTATTTTTTACTCCCATCAGGAAGATTTTTTTTTCAGGGCTTTCACTTTTTTTTTTCCAATTAGTTTATAAATAACCCCAAAAATAGAATGGGAGGTCATGGGGAGGAAGGAGGGTTTAGATATATACAGAGAAAAACTTCCAAACTAAGAGGCAGATTCACTTAAAGTTATTGCTTAAATAGATAAGGAACACTTTGAATGTCAGTTTTAACATGAAGGTAGTTGTTTATAGGAAATGCAGTTTTTGCCAAGTGCTAAAAAAGTTAACTGTATAAAAGTTGCATAGTCTACATTCATACCATTTAATTGCTTTCATCTGAGGAAACATGCATTGCATATACAACTCATGACCTGCCATACAGGAGAACCTAGGCCTTTTTCCTGTCATTTCTATTGAATATAACAATCTACAGCAAGCTTTTCACAAAAGCACATATTTTATTTAATTAACTGCTCCAGTAAATAATGACTGGGTGCCTTTTAAAATTTGATAAATGATTCATAACTTGCAGGTTCACAAAAGAATTCCTTACTGCAGAGTGGAATGGAATTTTTCAGGAACGTTTCCCTTATGTAGCAAAAAGTTCTTTTTAAAAAAACAAAAACAGAAAAAAAGTTTAGTGAAAAAAAAAGAAAAAAATATTAAACTGCAAGTAACTGCCTAAAAATAAGTTAAGGACTTAAAAGAACCCATGCCACACAGTGGCAAGCATTTTTAGCATGATTCAATTCTACATCCCAAGCTCCACATTTTCTTCTTCCGTTCTGCCTGCTTCCACCCAAACCTCTCAATGCTTTCAAACCACTAAGATTTAAAAATACATCTTAATTTACTCTTGCTTTATTCTTGGCAAAACTTCAACATCAGGTCTCACCCCTTTTTAACCTTTCTACCTACTAACACCTGCAGCAAATGCACACCTACTTTCTCACTAGCTTGAGTTCCTACCTACCAGCCCCATGTCAAGAATTACTACACTGTGGCTACTGAAGAATATTTATCACTTCAGTGAAAGCAACTGAAAAAGTTGGAATGCCCAAAATATTAAGAAAAGTGTTCAACTTAAATCATATAAATCACATAAACCTAAAAAACAGATACTAACACAAGATTTTTCTTCAAACACACAATATATCTATCACATCTACCATCTATAATCATGCTCAAAACAGATTAATGACATGATTCAAGAATCAATATTCTTCAGAACTCAGCATAACAGGATAGACAAAACATTCTGAATAAGCCATTCTGTGGCTTAAACAGCTTCCCCACAAATCTTGTTTTCCTTCAAGCTGTCCTTTGCTTTTCAACTCCCCTCATGTCAGCAATGCCAGCTTCTTAACCTCATCCAAGGTCTCCTGTGCTACCGTTGTAACTAGAAAGAGGCAGCTTATGCTGCATTATTTCAAAACTCTGTCTAGGACTGATCCATGCCAGCTGTTGCCATAACACAAAACAGCCCAAGTTTTCCTCTGTTACCTTCCTCTCCTCCACTGACAGATCAAATGAAAAAAAAAAGGGATACATGGTCTAGAACACAAGTTTTGTGTCCCTAGGATGTGAGGCTGAACATGGAAAAGCTTACACAGAGGCAATGCTAATATTACATATACAGCTAAGAAAACATAGTACCTAATACAATTCTGTGCTTTCTTTCCTTCTCCACTACCTTTAAACAGAATTCTTAGTTGTTGCCATCCCTATTTTTTCCCATTTGTGGTACCATTAGCATGTCCTTGGTTTCTCTGCCACCACACTCTTTTCTAAATGCATGAGGGCTCCTGACTAACACCCATGAGGTAAGATTTTTACAACAGGTACAACATCACAAAGCAGTGCCAAAGCCCATCTACTAAATAAATTTCCTGTTCTTCTATGTAATAAGCTAGTTGTTACCCTTAACAGCATGTACCTTCCTAGAAAAATGCAGAATATTACAAGGCTTAGATTCAATTTTCCACATCAATGTCCATTCAATCACATGCCTTACTTATGGTGTTAGACACATATGTTATAATGTATCTGCAACACAGGTCAGCTAATACCACTGCAAGAACCTTAACTTTTACTTCTGTAAGTAAAGATTCGTTACTTTCATGTAACGAATCTTGCAGGACTATTGCATAATTGTTTTTTTTAATTAAGCCAAAAAAACCGCATCTTCGTCCACTCAAAAGCCTTTGTTCTGCCACAGGCAAGACAGGCCAAAGTAAGAAAATAATGAATCAAAATTTTACAAAAATAAAAGGCATTAGATCTGTATTCCATGTTTTAGAAACCAAACCCCAGGATTTACTTTTGCTTTCTATATAATTGATCACAAGAGATAGTTTCTACACCACTACAGACACATCTGAAAACATTCCAAAATATTCAATCAAATGTTGCTATCTGTTCATGCACGTAAAAACTTTGGAGATTACTCCAAAAACCTTGGAGAGTCCATTCAATTCATACTACGAGCAGTGATTATTTCTCAAATTTCCACATCTGGTTTTTATCTGCAGCATTACAAGTTCTCATCTGCACATCTGCACGTCCCCCAGTTGTACGATAAGCAGTAAGGCACTTTCCTGAATGAGGATGATAAATAGTCCCATCTTCTCTGAAATGCCAGATAATAATTTCTGGCACAGGAGAACCATCTTTTGGGCAGCTCCTCATACCAATGAAGTCTTCATGTTCAGGAACTTCAGCACATAGCTCAGTTACAGAGTTAAATCTAATCTCCTGATTTGATGTATATTCAAAAAACTGGTTGCCTCCCTGACCATGACAGCCAAAGAGAGAAAGGTGAGACCCAGTAGGATTATGCTCTTGTAAGACATAGTCAAGGCACTCTGAAGATATTCCTACGCTGCGGATAGCACCATGCCAGCCAGGACGATCTTCTGGTACGTGCAACTCAGCAAATACATTTTTTAAATACCAGTTAAAACTCTTGCATTTCAAACGCTCTCTAAGTATCTTTCTCTCAGAAATATCTCCATAGTTTTCTTTTCTTGCTGATGGATTTCTGTTGTAAAAGTGATCTTTGAACTCATCCATCCACACCTCAGCAGCACGTGCCGTGTTCTGAAGGAAATTTGGTCTAGCATAGGGTGCACGCTTTGGAAACACATGACCCACATGGGAGCATGGATGAATTTCCAACATGCCTCCACACTGCCAAACCCTAAATGATAATTCTAAGTTCTCCCCTCCCCAAACATCCATTCCTGTATCATAGGTACCCAGGTACTCAAAATATTTCTTGCTGACAGCAAACAAGCCACCAGCCATAGTTGGGGATCTGATTGGGTCGGTTTCATATTTGCGCCTGAGACGTTCATGTTTTGGCACCGAGTGCCACTGGAATGTCAGACGCCAGTCAAAGCCCCCAATCATGGGCTCTGCTGTTTGCATGTAGTATTCAAATGTTTTCCAGTCAATGGTGTCAATGACAGGACAAACAATAACAGTCTCATTCTCAGCAATCCTCTCGAGCAATGGTTCCAGCCAACCAGAGACACATTCACAGTGACAATCTAGGAATGTGAGGACATCACCAGTAGCAAAGGTAGCGCCAATTAAACGTGCACGAACCAATCCTTCTCGTTTGTTGGTTCTTATCAAGCGAACTCTTTTCAGACTGCTTATGTATTTTTCAAGTTCAGCCTTCAAATACATTTTATCACTCAGGTCATCCACCAGTATAATTTCTTTCAGAAGCACTGAAGGTGATGTTTCAAGAACACTATATATCGTCCGCAGCAATGTTGACCAGGCTTCATTGTAAAAAGCGATTATAACAGATGTAGTGGGCAGTCTTCTGTAGTCATAAGATTTAGTCTTACAACCACTCAGTCGATTATCTTCAATGTGCCGGTGGAGAGAGATTTTATCACTCAAATAAATATTAATTGCATACTTCTCGATCAGCTCTTCTTCCTGTTTCTTTTCCTCAGGACTCAGCTGCGGGCGAGAGGGTTTACCCCATTCTCCTGGGGCATGAGGATCAGGTGGGGGTTTGTCATAAACTGGACGAGCCAAATCTACAGCTTCTTCTGCTCTGTCAGAAAAGCGCCTCTCCCATTTTCCTTTAGTGATGCTCTCTCCGGCGAGGGAGGCACCGAAGGAAGAAACCGACAGCTCGACCACAAAGTAAGCGATCATTAAGAAGCCGAGGAACATGCAGCTTTTACGGACCCACGTCCATCTTCTCGCCAGACGGATCCTCATCGTAAGTGGTTAAAAGCAGCTCGTAGCAGAAAGGGGCTCCCTGAAGTCCTGTCGGCTCCCTCCGCGCCCCCAGGGCGGAGGGGACCGCAGGCACTCCCAGCTGTGGGCTCGGGCCGCCGGCAGTTTGCAGCAGTCCGGCCGCGGTGGGCCCAGCAGATTCCACAGGGACCGCGGGGGGAGCGGGGCAGAAGTGGAGGCACGGAGCAGCCCCCTGCCCCTCCGGCCTCGGCGCTCCCCTTACTTCCTCCTCCTTCTCCTCCTCCTCTCTCTCCGCGGGACAAACCCCTCCTCCTGCCCTGTGGTTTGCTCAAAAAGTTGTCGCTTAAGGAAGGGGCAGAGACTCTTCGGCCCGCCTGGCCGGCGCGGGAGCCCGCCCCGCCTCCGCGGCCGGACCTGCGCCCGGAACCGCCGGGCGGCTCCGCCAGCTGCCGGGGAGGGAGGGAGGGAGGAAGGAAGGAGCGGGCTGCCCCGCCCGGAAAGCAAACGGCGCCCGGCCCCGCACTCACCCAGCCCTGCTGCGTCCGCGTTGAAGGCGACGCCTGTCACCGCCGCCGTGTGGCCTCGGAAAGGCCGGATCAGGACGGGGTCCTCCTGGGGAGAGGGTGCGCACCGTCAGGCTGCGGGCGGGGGCGGCCCCCAAAGGGGCCGCTAACGCCCCGCGCGCGGCGGGAGCCCGGCGGTCCCGGCGCCTTGAGCGCTCCCAGCGGCGGGGGCGGCGGTCGCGGCCGTGCAGCCCTCGGCGCCGGGCGACACCCGCCGGCCGCGGCTCGGCTGCGCTCGCCGGCGATCGGAGCCCGGGGCCGAGCCCTTACCAGC